AGGGCAAGTAAAAAGGCTTCCAAACGGCATAAGACTTACAGCCTAAAAGGAACAATTGCCATAATCCTCAGATGATTCATTCCTCTAAATATTATTCAAGAATAAAAATAAAATTGATAATGGAGAAAATTCTATTTGTAATTTTTGAGTATTTATGACATTTGTTGTCATGATTGATCAATATTTTGTGCGTATTGGAAATAAAAGTAAATACAGTGATAATTCTCTAATAATTAAATGATGCTGTATCTAGCTTTCACTGTATTTAGTAACAAAATCAACATTTTTGAGAAAATATTGTACATTATTTGTGATTCAAATTTGGAGATGATGTGAATTTATAAAATACAATTATTTTAATCTTTAATGTCGATAGAAATAAGGCTAATTAAGTAGACAAAACAGAATAAAGGACAAAGGCAAACCATCAATAGATCCATACCCGTAATGATGTGTCTAACCACAGAATGAACTGCTCCCGCGGGGGGCCAGCTGGTCGTTTCATTTTAGGACCACACGTGCGCAGCAGCAGCAAACATTTATCACATAGCAATGGGATGTTATGGACTCTGGGAGAAAAGAGCAATGTGGATCACACACGACACACACACACACATGCGCAAGCGCGCAAACACACGCAGGTTTACACAAGGACACACTTGCTACAAAAGCTGATGCATGAAAAACAAACCCACACACATACACTGTAAGGCCTCAAACTAATGCCTGTGTACTTTATTCTTTTTCTTGCTCACACACGGACTCCAACCCAAGGGCCAGAGGGAGTTTAAGGGAAAAAAATAGTCACAGCTGCTAGCCATATAATGATAACCTGCTGCCTTAATAGCCCTCCAACTAACAGTAGGGTGCTGGGGCTTGTCACCGAAACAATAGCAGAGAAATTTTCTTTGGTCACACTCTGTCACAAGGTAAATATTTGAATTGGAGCATTAATAAAGTCATACAATTTTGCAAAAGCTTAAAGATGGATTTAACTTTTCATATGCTAAACTCGTTTGATATCCCTACTTAACGAGTTGCTTTGCATTTCATCATATAGCATCACTGCCTTTATTTCTTCGAGCATTCCATAATTACCCCAAGGAACTGAAATAAATGTTGAAACAGTAAAGGCTTAAGGGTATTTATTAAATTAGAATATGTGATAAGAAGAGACTTCTTAGATTAAAAAAAAACCTTTAAGAAGGTATTGAGCATACCTTTCACTAAGTCCACATTTCTGTGTGTGCGTATATATATATATATATATATATATATATATATATATATAACAAGGTTAAGCACAAAAATTCAAAATACTGAAAAAAAATACTCATAAGAGAATAGCCAATATTTCATAATAATGTAAAAGATTGTGTCACCAGACATTATGATACAAATAACCAATGTATATAAAATCTTTCTCCATAAAATGAAAGATTTTATGGAGAAATCTTTCATAAAGATTTCTCAGCAAACTATATCAGTTTGGCAGCAAACTGATATAGATAAGCTTTTAACCTATGTTGACAACATGCAATTATTTTTTTTTTCTGCTGAAATTGAAATATAGCAATGCAATATTAATACCTTGCACCATTAATGTATTTCCTTTGTGCAGAAAATGTTCCCCTTACATAAATCCTTTTTGAAAGATTGTTTTTTTCTTTAACAGCATCTTTGGAACGTGAGCATTAGCTTTGCACATTCTTATAGCAGTTGTTAAACAAGCTACTTCATGGGCATGGTAATTGCTGCCAGCTCAAAGACTTGTAGACACCTGCCATGATTTTTTGGGAGGGGTAGAGATAAAATAAGCCTCTTTTAATGAGAATCTAATTTGTGCTGAGCTTAAATACTCATGCTTATGAAACACAATTTATCCGCTGCAGGGATTAGACCATGTAGACATTGAGTTAAATTCCACTTTTCATGTATTTCAATTTCTGTAGTGTGAGCAACTAAAGTCATAATGTTACAAGTGTGCAATGTGTCACACCGCAACTAATCAGTTGCATACATTATCTTATTGCTAACAAATGTTCCAGCAAGGATAAATAAAATATGCTTAAATCTTTCAGGCTGGGTTAAACAAGAGTTCAAAACATGTCTTCTAGTCATGTTTTTTAAGTCTCCTGGGCAGTGGTCTAGGTTCTGATAAGAGGGCAGAATAATGCATCTTTATCAAACAAGCATCTACTTTAGAGGCTTCCTGAGATAGCAGAGATGTAGAAGACTTGTGCTTGAATATATCAAGCATAAAAAAGCAGCCAGTTAATGATGAATGAAAACTGCTGCTTAATTAGGTGATTTAAGTTGCTAACATAAAATAAATATGACATATAAAAATACAGTCACAGCACATGTTCAATTGATTTGAAAGTCATTCACACTCTGATTTCTTCCCAAATGTTCTCCTTAGAGCTGCATAAAGGAGGATAAAAATCAAGAATTTGAAAAACGGGGATGAACAGTTCAGAAAAGAACAGGTAAATTAGTTGATAAGGGGAATTTCTCCCTTTTTAGGAGCAAAATAATGGTGGAATAAGACAAGTGCCACTTATTCAAATACAAAAAGAAGAAAAAAAAAAAAAAAAAAAGAAAGAAAAAAAAAAGACACGAGCCAGAGGCCTGGAAAAAGATTCAGAGGCATCGGCTCAGTGATCATTTGTGTCCCATACTTTACCCTTGTGGCACAGGACTCAATCAAATTCTCCTCATTCTTGCCCATGCATTACCTCAGCAAGCAGAGACCTCCTTTCGCTCCCTCAATTAAATGCCCACCCGCACATAATTAACGACTGTTTTGTCCACAGATCAATAATAGGCCTGTTCATTAAAAGTCCCTTTGCCTCCCCAAAGATCCCTTAGCTCAGTTCACCGTCACATCTGAGGAGGTGACTGTGCTTAAAGAATTCACATTCAGGTTTTATGTCTGGCTTGTACGTGGTGGCAAAGTAAGTCACAGAGGTGATGAAAGCTCAAAATACATGAAAATCCTTTGAAATAAAATCTAAGTCCTAATGGAAACTCTACATGCAATAATCATGGCTGAGCTTGTTGCCATCCTATTCATCCCGTACAATCATTTATTAACTGTATAATACCCATGGGACTGAATTATGTTCAGTTTGTGAAACATGTTATTCAACATACCCTTTCTTTGAGGTAGAATTGGAAAAAAAAATGTTTTAATGTAAGTAGCAAAATACAGTTACCATCCATAAAATTATGGTCATGTGGCTAATTTTTTGTTAGGTCTTCCTTTTTTGTTGGTAAAACAGCCCTGACCCATTGATGCATGGACTCCACTAAATCCCTGAAGGACTGTCATGACTCTGTGATGTGAGCAGGAGCTCACTTTACCCTCCTGCAATCTTAAGAGACAGGGTCAATCAGACTGCATAAGCTCTATACCCTGTGCAGGGTCCAGTGGGGTCGCATTGACCCCGAATGCATGTTTACAAGATTTTTATTTATTTATTTTTTTATTTTTTTGTGGTTTTTTGTGTTTTTTTTGGCATCTGCTGTGCTCCTAAGTGTCATGCTAAGATCTCTGGAGGGCTAAAGTGCTTGTGTGAAGTTGCTATGACTAAAATTTCCCTTAACTGTATAAGACAGACGTCTTATCATAAACACTATAAGGCCTGATCGGTGACAACTACCTTAGCCAAATCAGACTCATTCTTCCTCATGTACAGTCCAATGAGTCCCTTCTAGTGTGCAAATGTGACCACACTATCTACACTGCTCAATAACAGCAAAATATCTCCTTTAATCAAACATTTCCAGCATAGGAAAGTAGCTTACAAATCTGAGCCAAAATGTGACAAAGGCTTGTATCACATTTTGCTATAAGCCTGACCTATGATCACCATAGGTAGGTGCCTATACCATTTCACCTGGGATGAAGGTGTGAAGACGCTTTGACCCAGTCGTATAGGCATCTCTCCCTGGCCATTGTCAAACCTTTCTGCTTTTAAGGATAATAACTATCAGTTGTATTAATTTCAGGTCTAATTGACATATTACATTCACAAACTTATCATGTACAGTTCCCCAAAACAATCCTGTAGTTTATGACAACCACCAGTGTTTGTAGATGCTAAAACCAAAATGTCTACCTGTTATTTCTTAGAAAATAAAGATCAATAAATAACAAGAGGAGTTGGTTTTGTTAAAGTCCACCTTACTGCCAGCCACCTGTCAGAGCTAAAACACCAAATGATTGGACCAACATTGCTTCAATCTGGAGGATACACAGAACAAATATACACCCAAACACATATTTTTTTTCCCACTTTAATGATTAGTGTATGCTATGCTATTGCCTCTCACCTCTCCCATCTGTCACATAATCACAGCATCTCTGGAGATGGATAACAGGGTTTAAACACACAGCAGTCTCATACTTGGCAATGTTTTTATTGTGTTTTTATCAGCCATCTCAAGCACAATCTTAGATTGACAGTATGACATTAGGTGGCTTTTTTTTTTTTTTTGCACTACTGCAACCAGAAACCAGTGGACATTTTCAAATGTATCTTAATAGTTTCAGGTTTTATTGTTGTGACTTTTTTTTTTTTTTACCCTAAACTCACCTAGAACCCTGCTGTAAGATTGTCAAAGCAAACAGACTGGCTGTGTAGGATTAATAAAAAATGCTTAAAAAATTGAATTGGGTGAATGGATTCAAAACATCTCTATATGCAATGTTTCTAATTTATGTACTTCTGCATAGACTACACTGTGCACTTTGTTCACTTTAAAATCTTTCTTTCTTCATGACAGAGGCAAAAAATAAATACACACAAAGGCTGAATTAAATTGGTAAACATCTCAAAAAGCATGAGGTGTTTTATGAGAGCTACCTGTAATATTCCAACCAAATTTTCCAGAGCCAATTCAGAATCCTTCTATCCATGGTGAGTCTTGCTACAGATGGATTCCCTTGAGTAACATCTGGCATTCTCTAAACAGTGGGCATCCCCCCATTCACTTTCTTGCTCATAAGCCTGTGTAAAAATGCCCCTTTGAAACAACTCCACAATGGATTCCTCATTTAGCAATGTACAAAACACCGTCACATAAGTTTGCGCTGTCTGTTTCTTTAAACTGATGAATGTGGCAGAATGGGTTTGAATTCCCCAGCTCCCAATGCTATGATGTGTGCCAGTCTCTTGGATTATGAGACATATGGAGGCGTGTGAGCACACAAGCATGAGCAAATAAATTCCGGAAGTCTAACATAGTTATACAGACAAGCCTCACAGAGAGTGGAATTGGAAAAAGTTAATAAAGGGAAGACTATATTCACATGCTAAATATTGGTATACTTTAAAAGGAGGCACATAATACATTACCTGAACTAAACTGGGAAATAGACTCCTAAAAGCCAATAAGAGATTCTCCAATCCTGCGGCACATGCATTTTGGCTTATTATTAATATTTTAATTTTAAGTAGTTAATCCGGATCTCGACTTGCCATGCCTCAGAGATTTTCTAGTCTAAAGCAAACTATTCCTAAAGATTAAATTTTAATGTTTACTTACTGATACACATTTATAATGGATATAGAAATAAATTAAATAGATACACCACAGTATTCTGCTAGATAGCTTGATACAAAAAAAAAACAAAAAACCCTGCAACCATGATAAAACAACAGTATCTCTCAATTCCAAGCTTATTTACTGATGCATTATGAACAATGGTGAAGCAGGTGCTGCAGTTTGACAACGCAGATATGTTACACAAAGAATGAAAACAGAGGGACATCAAATTATTCCCCCTCACTAGACAGTAAGTCTACAGCTGTCTGTCATGTGGCCTGGAAACTATACCAGGTCAGCGTAAGTGTAGAAAGTTCTAGTGATCAAAGCTTGCGTGTACATGAAGTACTCTCACTGTGCTCAGTCAGTCTGGTTTTGATCAGTGCTGAAGGATTAAAAGCAAGTAATATCTCATCCTGGCTTGGTACCAGTGACATACTTTTACCCAATTCCAACTCTTTGAACTGTCGCTCCTGTCTGGGTGAATGAGAAGCACAATAATTTCCTTTTAAACAACTTTGTACCCGTTGGCTTATAGTTTTGAGGTCTAATTATATACCCTCTTTTTTCCCCTAATTTGTAACAGAACATTGTGTAAAGACAAGATTCCTAAAAAAAATGTATTGGAATTTTTTAGATCAAAAATGATTTTGTTTTGTCCAAAAAACAAAAACAATAACTAAGTACTTGAGTAGTCTTTGCATAGGAATAGTGCATAAATATGAGTAACACCTGCAAACAAAGCAGCATCTGGCTGCACTTTAAAAACATGTAGGCAAATACATTATAAAACTAAATTATTATTATTATTATGGTTGTGTTCAGTCGATTTGTTTGCAGTGCTATGTTACTTTTAAAATGAATGTTAACTCTGGACTTATATTTTATATGCTTGTATAAAGGTCCTATATATATTTATGTAAAGTTATATACTTTATATGTTTCAGATCAGAAGACAGTTGTTCTCCATTCCTGAGCAGCCACAAATAACAGGTATTTTTAAGTATTTTCAATGGCACTGGTAAATAATAAAGCATGGATTAGGATGCGAAAATGGCTTTACCTTGAGCCAGGTATTTTTACTCTGGGCACCATATTTGCTATGAAATGTGTTTTTCTATTTTGTTGATGCATCTCTTGTACCCAGAACTAAAAAAATTAAATGAGGTATTTTTATTCATGGTGTTGTGCTTGGTTTTTAATTGTTAGCTACAGACTCAAAAGCAAGAAGCACTGGCCTTTTATTTTATATCTTTTCCTCTAATAATTTTCCACGTCTTTCAATGCAAAACATTGTTTGGTTCATTGAATTTTAGCTAAGCGAGTAGAATTCTCCACAAGGCTGAGATTTATTCCTGATGGATGGACATCGACAAGACCTTTGGATTCTTCTAGATACATACATGCAAAAATACAAGCAGCTGGAAAATATTAGCACTTCCCCCACCGGATCTATCAGATTATGCCATGCAGTACATTCAATTACATACGAGAGCAGATGGTGTAAACAAAATCAAACATGCATAATCTTGAGATTGGATCCTTCAGTTAGATATTAACTCTGATAGTCAAAGGCCTGACACAGGACCAGACATATTAAGAGGAGTTTGTGGAGCCAGTGAGCTTACTGACTCAGGGGTTTTCAAAAGTGGGGTAATCCAGGGGAATGGATGCATGCATGACAAGTAAAATTACACATACTCTTTCTCTCTCCTCCTCCTCCTTCCTCCCTCTATTTCTCTTTCGCTCTTGCTCACACACATACAAACAAAAATGTTTACCCCCTGTGTCGCACCAACAAACTTGTTTATTTTCTCTTGCCAATTAAGAGCAGATTACTCAGGAAAGAACGCTGTCACACAAATGAGTTGTGAATGCAATGGAGTCATTTCATAATTTGATTTAAAGATTAAAGGCTTTTAAGACCTGCCTAGAATGCTTAGAATAAAACGTTGTAATTTCTGGACTATTGCACATACCTGAATTTAAGCGGCAGCCACTAACTTGGAAAAAAACAAAAAAAAACATACATATGTTTATCATATTTGCCTGTAAGTTGCAGGTGTCCACATTGTGGGTCCCTGAAATTTTTCCTTTAAATTTTCTTTTATTTTTTAAATATATTTACTTTACTTTCCCCCCCCCCCTTACTATTAATATAATTGTGCAGTGGGACAAAATAAAAACTGTGGTCTTTTAAACAGTTCACTCTCATCGAAACCAAAAAGAGGAGAAATGAAGCAGATGTTTTGTCACCTCCTTCTCCTCTGGATGTCACAGAACGTAAGCCCAGGAACAAGCAGGAGAAGAGTTCTCTTGAAATAGGTAGGCTTTGTTTCTCCTTTCTTATTATTTAGTGTAATTTGTAACAAATATGCTATGGGGCCATATGTGTACGTGTGTGTGAATGCGTCGCATTGTGCACATAGCCTTGTGTGGGTTAGATACGCTGTTTATGTGCACTAAACACATCATGCTCACATAGTACATTTGTGTGGTCAGGAACTGATTGTCAGGTGAACGGTGCAATGTTGCTGATTCTGCGTGTCATGTGCATCATGCACAAGTGGCTTGCATCAGGTGCATTGTGCTGGTTTGGTGCGGTAATAGTTTGTATGCGTGTGTTCTCCGCTATAATGTCCCCTGGTCTCATACGCTCTTCCTTAGTCTCTCTTTTGTTGTCCTTCTCAATGCCACTTCTGTTTTGCTATTGAGTTTGTGCTGTCCTCTTCATCACTCAGCAGTCAACCCTTTCGAAATCTTTTGGTAAAAAGCCAAATATTAGTCGCAAAGCAGTGTTCAAAGTACGTTAAAATAGTAGCAGCTTGTAGTCTGGAAATTACCCTCATCTCTATGAAGAGGATTTCTTGTTTATTTCAAAATTATGCTACTCTGCTTTTGAGAGATTAAGGCAAACATAACAATAGATAACAGCTAAATTTAGATGAAATAGTCTGCTGGTCAGACTAGTAATGTTTTTCCTGTCACCCTTTTTTCCCTTAAGTACTCCATGGACCATGGTGTATGCAAATAACAGACTCACCGTTCCTCAGCCAGATGACCTTGCTGCCACTCTGCGTGAATGATGACTCTCAGGTCCTTCAGCTTGTCTGTACATTGTCATTCAGCATTACTCCTGCTCCAACACTCTTCTTCAACTTCTAAAAAGATAAATAAAACATACCCTGGGGTGAATGTCTGTTTTTTTTTTTTTTTTTTTTCAGCTAAAGTGAATAAATTCCCCAGTTAGATTTTAATGGGAGAGTTAAGGAGCAGGTGAGTGGATGGAGGAGGGAGGGGGGGAGGCAATCTGCTAATGGAATGTGTAGAAAAATGGAGGGATGAAAAGGGCTAATAAAATTGGTGAGAAAAAAAGACACCTTAGATCTGTCTGGAGAAAATAACAGTGAGTTATAGGGCTGGCTGTAAAGTGGTTTAAACAAACAATCATTAACTGCTTTCCTCATCTGCAATATAGGGTTGAGAGGGGGATGCTTCAGAATGGATATGAATGAGGTAGAGGTGGAGTCTGCAATCTTCATTCAATTACCCCCCACCCTCTCTTTCTCCCCCCTACAAACACACCCACTGCCATCCCCATCCTCCCAGTCCCTTATACAAGAGATCTCTTGAGATTACATTGTCGCTGTTTGACTGTTAATTACAGTCAACTTAAGTCTAATAAAAAAAGTTTGTCCTAATGATGATATTTAAAAAGACTCCACGGTTACACAGCTGCGCTGCAAGTGAGTCTAGATTACAGGCCAGAAACTCTGTAAGCAAGATGAAACTCAGGGATTTAGGTCTTTTAATTTAGTGGAACATGATTTATCTGCCGACTAGCTGGAATAGAGGTCATTTTAACAGGGTATGTTTGTATAGCTGATGGATGCAGATTCCTTATAAGGGACAAGTGCCCAAGATGTAACTTTGAACAAGTTGTTGGACATAAAGGATCATCTTGATTACATTAGTCATTATTAAAACATTTCATAAGTGCATGCCATTTTTCATCACCATTCGTAAATGTCCATGAATGAAATAGTTTTCTGCCTCTTTAAAAGTAGGCTGTGTATTATCTACTGTCATGTCACAAGAGAAGAAAAGGCCCCTTTTAAAATCACTGTAAATTGCATTTTGTCCAAAAATGTGAGTATGTGTTATCATACAGAGCAGGATCAGTTATTGCCTAAAAAAAACAGGTCAGGTATCAATAGTAAAGACAATTTTAGCACTAAGATTGCTTGACTCCCCTGTTTTCTCCCCAAATAATGATTTTAGTTGTTAAACATTTGTTTCAGTAAACAAATGTCTACAATTATGAGAGTTCAAGTGAAAGAGTAAATAAAATTACTGCAAAAACAAAAAAGGAATATTTTGGAGCTCTCTGCTCAGCATCTCTGGGCTCTGATGTTTTAAGAAAGTTTTGGAGGAAGTGCAGCTTCTTCACAGGGTCTGAAATTCTTTAATTTTTAAACCTGTTTGTCATCTTGCTCAATTTTTTCCCCCCTTTTTTAGCTGTTGTGATGTAAACACATTTTTGCATTTCATGGGTTGTTTACTCTATTTAATCCAATACAAAGTAGGAAAAAAGGTCTGAAAGTTACAGTATGTAACCTTGATGATTTTTTGTAGCATATCTGTTAAAAGTGTGACTATGTTGTGACAGTTTAGGGTATGAGGCAGATAATCTTTGTGGATGAGCGGGAGCTCTTCATAGATTATCTGTCTCATATTATGCTGTCATGACATAGTCATAGTTTTAATAAATATGTAAAAAAAAAAGCATATTCTTTATAAAAGTTACATACTGCAGCTTTAAGAGCATTTATTTTGTGTGGTTACCTCAATAAATCAATCTAATATCTCTATTCCTTGGTTTACGTTTATATGTGTTGCATTTTGTTTACTGATTAGATTATTGTTCTTTTTTTTCCCCTCATCATATTTTAGATTATATGTTGTTTTGTAGGTTCTTTATTATTTAATTCCTAAAATAAAATAAGACATAAAAAATACTTCTCTGTGATGTTGNTTGTTATTCCAACCCTGAAATCAACCAAAATACAAACATACAAAATAAAAAAAAGCAAAAGTTTTTGCTATTTTAGAATGCTGTTGTAAAACGTGGTATGTATGCACCTGGCTATAAGGAAATTGAGTGCATTTTTGTGGAAAATTAAGTCCTGTCTTGACTTTCAAGTAGGTATGTTGCTTTTGTTCATTACCCATTTTGTAAAGTCTGTGTATCAGGATGAAGGTGCAAAATAGTGTAATACTGTGTCAGGATTGGGTAAATAACTTTTGCTCCCATACATCCCCAGTTGTCTTTCTTTATTCCCTTTTTAAAGCCAGATGTTCACTTAGGTTTATTAGACTATGATTGATCAAGTAATAATTAACCTAATTAATCAGAAAGTCACTTCAACAGTCTAGCGTTTGGAGGGAGAATATCTTAGTCAGTTTAGACAGAATGCTTTCATCATGTGCATCCAACAAAATATCCAATGTTATTTTTGAATTGTTGTGCTATTCGGCCATTATGTATGTTGAATGTTGCACCTCAGAGTCGGGACACTTATACTGCATACATGTTGGCATGTCCGTGAAATATGTTATAGATCGGCTTTACTGGTGATCATCTTAGCAGCCAGTGACTTAAAAATCTACACAAGCAGGTAAAAAAGGCTGGTTTTGTTCTATGGAATGATCTAGAACCCTTCAGAGTTGATTGTTCATAAAAAAATATGTTCTAAAATGAAGAACATAATAGAAAACCCTGACAACCTACTTTATGTGATATATATTATATATAATACAACTTAATACATATAATACAACAACAGACTTTCTTCAGACTGAGGCTTCATCAGAACCACTGTAATACAGAAGCCTACATGATGTCTTTCCTACCCACAGGCGACAACATCTGAAACCACTCTAACAAAGCTTATGAAGACAACAAAAGGCATGTTTGCCTAGTACGATTGTCAATCCAATCACCATGTCCTCCTTGGAGGGGGTACAGACTGAAGACCCAGGAGGAGGTGATTCAATCACTGTGGCAGAGGCCTGAGAAAAGACAGGACACCAGGTGTGGATATGTGGCCTGAAATGCTGAAGAATCTGGACATTGTGACTGAAATGGTAGTCCCGACTTAGAAAAAAACAGAACAAAACAAGAAGAAGCAGGACAGGAGAATGTGTGCAATGACCTATCGAGAATCAGACTTTTTAGATTCTCTGAAAAAGTTTACTCAAATCTTGGAACTGGGAGGAGCAATATGGGTTTTGTCCTGGCTGTGGAAAATGGGACCAGTTCTTTCACAGAATTGCTAAAGGGCTCACATGACTACGCTCCTCCAGTCTACATCTGCTTGTGGATCTGGAGGAAGCCTGTGACTACGTTCCACAAAGTACTCATGGGGTGCTGCATGATAATAGAAAATCTGGTTGGCTATCAGGAATTTCTGAAATCAAACTTTTACTTATTTTGCTGTCAACACAACATCTTTCAAATTATGTGTCCCACAATACAAAAGCACACTAGATTACATTTATTGAATTAATAATGTACAACCTCTGAGATCACATGACTGGGTCCTCTCTGCAACATCCATCTCAAATCCCATGCAGCTTTTCCACCTCCCAGTGTGTATATTTTTGCTGCATATTGAGGCTCTGAGGGTGTTTTACACTGATTCCCAAGAGGCATGAGTCTATTTATACAGGATCTTAAAACAGGGTAGTCTAACTCGTCCAACATCCCAACCCCACCCTTACAGCAGCAGCAGCTTAAGGTGGCAACATTGACACACAACCACATGATAGTCCAATCTAATCTTTTAATCGCTTCAGTTACTTCAAGTCTCCGGGTGAGATGGGCCAAGCTAGGGGTAAGGATGAAATATCTTCTGCAGAGATATGATACAGTTCTGGAACACATGAGGAAAAACACACACATACTCACTTATACACTCCGTGCCACTCCACCCCGCCCCCAGAGTGTTATGGCGAAGTCCCATGTATCTGTGGGTATTAACAGATCAGCACTGAGCAGCCGCCACCCTGCTTTTAAGTCTTTTCTTGAGGTAGTGCTTCTGAAGCCTTCTGCAGAGGAGGATAAATGCGCAGCAATCCCCCAGGCCCAGTGCCTCCTCAACCCTACTCACTTCTGTCTTTGCTGTGCCCTCCTTCTCCTCCATTCCTCACTTATCCCCACTTTCCTTCAGTTCCTCATTATTTCTATCCCACTTCTTTTGCTAAGGATTTCATGCTTTCTGGTAGGCTCTTTGTCCCTACCTTTCCTTTGCTATTTTTGTGTCTTTTTATCCTTTTTCCCCTTTGGCTTTGTGTCTTTGCCATTCTTGATTCTTTGCCCTCATCTTTTCTTTCACTCAACCTCAGTAATGAACGAGACTTGAAGCTCATCACCAAAAAGGGGAAAAATTACATGTTATAAAACCTTACATCCATGACCAAAGGCTGAATTCTAGGATTCAGGCCTTACCATTCAATCACCACTCACAGATTCCAGATACATTGCCCTCTAAATATTAAGTTTAAAAAAATCACTACAGATGAAAATTAGCCTTTCCATTGAACATTAGCGGCCATCTCATTCAGCTCAGCACTTCTCTCTTTGCAGTGGGCTGTATACAGCAGAGACAATTTCTGATAAGCTTCATGATGTCAAGATGGAGCATTACATCTGTCACGGCCAAATGTTAGCGACTGGGTAAAATTGAAAATGTCGGTATTACCATCCACTAATCAACTGCTCCCCAATAACTGAGGGTTCAAACTCTGTACGAAACAAAGCTAGATTAAATTTTATTGGTTATATAAATTACTTTTGGTCCCAATGATTAGTGATTAGCAAATTTCTGTAAATGAGCAAATATAGAACATGTACCTAATGTAGCTACACACATGACAGTAAATTGCAAAATGCAAAATGAATAAAGTTTTAATCACATTGCATGTCATGACAATAAGTAGCCTGATCACAAATTTATGAGCACAAGGGATGACTAATTCCTACACTAGTGAAAACAAGAGTATACTGCAAATTCAAATGTGCTTCTGCTTGTGTCATTCGCTTTGACAGGTTAAAGATTCAATGTGAGGTGCTTGAAAGGGTTTAGTGCTCAACTTGAACACCAGGAGACACTTTTTCTTTTGTCTCTAACCTTCAAGGTTCTATTCTAAAATGTTTTTCTTTCATTTGGATGTTTGTTGCCACTGTAATTATTCTTGTTTCCACAAGACCATTTACCAAGACAATAAAACCAAGGTTTAGGCAGTGAGATTGGTATATCTGCACATTATTTATTTATTCAGTGTGAAGTGACATTTATTTTAAATGAAGTAGATGCTCTGCAGCAATTTGTTAATACAAACTTCAAACTTCATCATGAATTTGTTATGGAGCTGTCTGGTGTGGCGCTTGTCTTTGATTATATTTATATATAATATATATATTTATTATGAGCATACAAACCCACTCTTCATAAAATCCAGAATTCTCAAATTTGACGAGCTTGTAGAATTTAAAATGGCTCAATTTATGTTCAAAGCATCTAAAAGGTTGTTACCTGAGCACATACAGAGCACGTTTTCTGAAAGAGAAGGGGGGTATAACTTAAGGGGTCACTCAAACTTCAAGATCCGCAATTTTAGAACAAGAAAAAGCTTCTGTATTTCAATTAAAGGCGTAAAGTTATGGAACAAATTACATGAAGATTTAAAACAAAGCAATAGTTTAACACAATTCAAAAGAAAGTACAAAGAGGTAATTTTCAATAGATACACATACGGGTGATGGAAAGCAATAAGGTGTGTATTGCAGATAACTTGGTGTAAGGGTTTAGAAAGACAAACCAGAATAAAATGGGAAAATGTATAGGTAAATATTAGTAACTGTTACTTCTGACTGCCACTTTGATTTCGATTTGTTTAATGACAGTAGGACTCTAAAGTTTCAAGTGTTTAGGGGTAGGAGTTTATAAGTTCTCACTTCTTCCTACCCCATTTTGAGCATATGTTAACTGAAACAAAAAAATCTGTATTTTCTCTTCTTTCTTATGCACTTCTTGTTACTGTGCACTATTTTATTTTATATTTGTATCATGTTCGAATAAAATTTCATTTCAAAATTTCATTTCATTTCATTTCATTTCATTTCATTTCATTTCATTGTTTACTAGTATATTGTAACAATTATACTGAAATTGAGTGAACTCAGTTGAGTAATTTGGTGACATTTGAAGGTAATTTATAAAGCTGGATTTTATTTATGTGTATTAACATGAACAGGGCTGAATGTCAATGTATGCTACACTTTTCAGGATTTTACTTGTGAAAAGTTTAGTTTCCCTTCACTACTTCATGTTGACACATTACATCAATTTGCTATGAAATTAATTTAAGTTCAAAGGATATGAATACTTTTGGATGGTACTGTATAGTGAGCATTGCTGAGGGCTCCTGAATGATTCTGCAATCAAGGAAATAACTGAGAGACAATTAGTTATTTTGGCATTGATATTCTACCAAAACAAGGACAAAATGAGCTTATTACATGTAGTTTCTATAATTACAACATTATTTCTTTGAGAAACCAATGAGATCTTATGTGATTTATTTGTTATCTACAAAATAGAATAACTACTGTGCTTGGCATGGTCTAGGTTACTACGAACAGAAAAAAAAAAAAAAAAACACAGTAAAAATTGAGGTATTTTTAAATGTAATCCTGATCAAAAACAAGAGATTTTGTTTGTGACATGCACACATACAAGGAATCGTTTTGCAATTCCTGTTCAAAAAAATGATAAACTTGAAGACAGACAGGCAGATGAAGGAAGGCTAAGTAGGTTGAATCCAAATTAAGCTGATCAGAGCTCACTGTGAGATAATCTAGTTATGTGCATAAAGGACTTCCCCATGGCTATAAACACATCAAGTTATGACTCACTGTGTGTGGATTTTTGTATGACCGCATGTTTATGTGGAAATGTTGAAAAAAACAATGTGCAAACTGTTTTCTAATGAGTAATGTTTGTATCTATACATCCATATTCAAATATATCCATAGACTAAGCCTCAAAAAATCTCTGTTTTCTGCTCTACTTGCTCTCACTCAGAAAGGAAATCTGACTTCAGCAGGTGACTTAAAGGACAGACGTTTATTTGTAAGGTAAAACTATGCTAATGAGTTAAGCTATCAAATTTGACAGTGCTGTCATTGTTTTTGTTTGATTTTGTACAACTGAACAGTACACAATACAACAGAAATATGCAACATTTTAGGGAGATTTGAACTCTTAACTGCTAATGTCGGTGTGCACTGAAATTTGTCTGGAAAGACATAATTACTCAATTGGAGTCATGTGGAAATGCAACGCCAGATTGAATACCCAAGAGGGCTCCACTGTAGACAGAAAATTACAAAAAAGCTAAACTGAAATTTGCCAAAATGCTTGTTGAGAAGCCCTAAATGTTCCATCAGCTCTTTGTTTACCAGAAGAAAAAATAAAACTTTTACAGAAAAGAAAACTCTACCGATGGTGAAACATGGAGGGGGCTGTTATGATTTTGAGGATTTCTTTGTTGCATTTGGTACAGAAAACCTGATGTTCATCTTGGTATAAAATATAGAGCATATAACATGTCTGGAAGCTCAGCATCCGTCACAGATCATGAGCCTTCTAAAAATATACATCAGGCTGTTTTTAAATCCCCCTTATTAACCCAGAAAATAACCATATGTATCATCAATGCAAAGATCTAATAATTGCAATTTGCAGACGACGTCTCTCACGCCCAAAAAAGTGAGCCACATTGCCTCTTGGCAAATGTCAATATCTCACTGAGTCCAGCGATCTAGTTAGTGTAATGGAGGGCAAACCAATCATTTAATATCTATATTAAAGGCAAACATTTAACACAGAGATTAAAATTCCATCTACAAATAAAACCTACTTATTCCAAATCAAAACTAAGCAACAACAATTTAACAAAAACCCAAACCCGTTTGCATATTCACAGATCCTTGCATATTAACTAAGGTCACCTCGCCACATTACTGTATTCATGTAAACTCTCTGACAAGGCCTGGTGATGAGAAAATGGTCTATTCAAGCATAATTGTCTTGCCTCCAATGAATACACAAATAGTGTATAAGGAGATGAACAAAGTCATCATTGTGAAGATGACCTTTAAAACAGTTACTGTACATTTGCTAAGAAATATTACTAGTGACAATAAATCCATTTCCTTTAGACCCAGTAAATACCTTTATATTTATCTAATGGCAAGAATGCATACTTTTGTTATAGGGAATTGGGATTTATGAATTCAATCAAGTAAGTTAAATAGTTATGCACACAGGGCTATAAAGAGCATACAGAACAGGGCTTCAGTGCAGAAAGACAAACTTATATCACTGAATGAGAAGCATTTGGTCAGTACAGATGCAACAGCTAAATAGGATCTTCTCTGTTTTGGAATCAATTAAAATGGCACATTTGTGTGATAAGTTTATATGAGAACAGAAATACTTGTGAAAAACATGGTATATTCTGATGCCATTTTTTCATTTACTTCCAAAGATAAAAAAAAAAAAAAACTGACTTAGAATATGTACTCCATATTCAGAAATCTGAGTGATTTTCCATTTCTATTTTTATTGTAATATGCCTTGTAGGTCTAGCTCCCTCTTACTGAGACTTGCCCAGCGTCCTGTATAGTAACCTAAAGCCCCATTTTATATATGATTACAGGCCAACTTAAACTCCAGATAGACACAGAAGATTCTCTAGATATTTAGGCACATTCAAGCAATCAGACTTAAAATACTGTAACTTTAGCATGCAAGAAATGTGCCAATAAACATTTTGAGACTTGTGCACTATTACCTCCTCTGCCACTGCAAGAGCAACGCTCATTAGAGTTCTACTTAAGCCTCAGTGAGATGTGGTTAATCTGAATTTGCTTAAATGAAAAAGCATTTTAAATGGTGCAATGAATGTGGAATAATTGAAGTTAATAGCACATGAAGGTTTAGAAAGACCAGTCTCCTTGATGAAGAGAAATTTGTGCAGTGTTTAAAGCTGATAAGTAAACAGCTACAGTTCAGTTAAGAGGTTGATGGCCTGGAAAAAGCAACATCTTTCAACCCTCTGTGAAAGGCGGTCGAACTGATGATATGTCAGAATGGCCTTCCAGTTTGTTTATCTGAAAAGGTTCCATTCTTTGTCTCTCCCCTTCCATCTTTGTCTCCCTGTCTACATGACTGTCTGTCTTCCTCAACTGTCTGAAAATTGAGGACTGGAGAAAGAACAGCCCACAAACGGCTTTTCAAAAACAGTAGAATGACAATGGGGCTGTTAAAGTCACTTGGCCTTCCTAATGCTCATCCTATTGACATTATTGATTTCCCTTTCTGTTAGCAACTCTCATAGCCCTCCAGAAAAGAGACTATTCACTTTGCCCCATGGTGATGGTCAGCAAAGTCGGTTTCAATACATACAACACAAACCACACAGAACACACATGCCCACACACACATCTTTGTACTTCTATACAGACTGAGGACTTTGTATTGACTTCCATTCATTTTAGGAACTGAATTTATGCCTATTACAGACACTGTTACTGACCCTAACTATTACTAGTCTATTCCAAACCCTACCTTTGACCAAAACCTAATTCACACCATACTTCTAAAGCTAAGTAGTAGAGAACAAAAGACCTGCAAAAAAAAGCGAGGACCAGTAAAAGGTTCTCACTTTCCTTAAATGACCTCCCTTTGTTAGTAAATACTGTGAAAGTGGTCCTCTATGAGTGCACACACACACTGCCAAGGACCGAAATAGATTCATGTTCAAACGCAGTCGCGACCAAAGTCCAAACTTCAAACTCTTCTCCTATGATGTTCTGCCAGTCAAAGGAGAGAAGAGCTTTCTCCAAGCACAGCAAATATCTTGTCCTTTTCCCTGTCTTCCTTTTTCACTTATTTTTTTCATGGCAGCCTGAGGCTCTGACCTTGTTTAATGTCCTCCACCTGACTGGCCACTCAAGCAATTCTTCCCACTTAATGAGAGAATGTCACTTGTTAGCCTGTGCCATTAGCCCTAGCTTCAGTCCCTAAATCCACCTGACATATCATGCCAGCCCTGTACAAAATAGTGCTATACTGACAACTGAAAAAGAAAACAAAACCAAATGTGGTGAAACAAAGTAGCGCACTTATACCAGAGCCCAAATTGAGTTGAACCTGCTAACATAATTTTAAATGAGGCTGTTTTTGTTCTTGAAGCCTAAAGAAAGTGGAAAGATTTGTCGGGATGAAATGGATTTTAGGAGAAACTATTTATTAAATCAGATAAATGTCCTTCATGTCATTAGTTACCAGATAGTTTTTATAAGGTGTGATACAAAATCCTGTCAAAAAAAGAGAACAAGAGTGAAATGACAAGTCTCACAGCTTCTATCAGCTAAAAAGAATACCAAAATAATGCAGTGGTTAACAGTTTCTCCTTTTCACATTAGAGCATTGGATTTTAAATGTCAAAGCACTTCTGTTTTTTTTTTTTTTTTGTTTTTTTTCCTCTGGGTTTTCCCTCAGCCATGTAGTAAATCAGCCTAACATCCATCTGATATGGATGTAAATACAATCTCCATGTTTCCGTGGATAATAGTGATCACAGATGTGGAACTTTAATTAATTGGCTGTTTTCCCGTACTTTATCTTCGAAATGTTGCTTTAATTCCACAAAATGATTAGAAAAGATGAAAAGCAGCTGGACCAGATGTTTAGGGAACTTTTTACTGCTTTATGTTTTTCTTATTCCTTATCCTATGATTTGCCAAGATGCTGGTAGAAGCAAATTCATCTGCTTTAATGCCATGTCTTGAGTTATAGTTGAAAGACATAACCAAAAACCTTAGACACATCCACAAATGGGTGTGTGGAAAGTGCATTAATGATGAAGTTTGTAGGAAACCATGAGCATATTTAACAGCATGAC